GAGAAATGATAGAGATACGATGTATGGATGAATGGATGGATATATAGAGAAATAGGTAGAGAGAGAAATAGATGATCAAGAACTAGATACATAGAGATATGGGAGGAGGGGGAGAGACAGAGACAGAGACAGAGACAGAGAGAACACTCCCAGGGCGGGCTGTTCCAAAGTCAGTTAATGCTTGCTTGATAGGCTTGTTAAGTTTTCAATGTGAGCGCTTACACCTTAGAATTCAATAAAAATTCTACAAATCAGGACTTGACTTTCTTGCCTGTTGACTATGATGGACAAAATGTTAATAATGCAGATTAATCTTATAAGTAGCTGTTAAATGTTTCCCAGCACACCCCCTAGGTCAGTATGTAGCCACGAAATATTTATTAAATGTTTACCATGTGCCAGGCACAGTGCTAAGAGATGAGAATTCAGATAGTTCCTACCATCAGGGAGCTTTATCCTGATTGGGGAAGGGAGCCTGTAGTGGGGAGCTAGAAAGGGGCAGGGAGTGGAGGGTGCCAGGAAGCAGTGTGAAGGCCAGATTTCAGATAAGAGATAGCCAAACTCACCGATCAGAGCCCTGGGACTCAGGGTTGGAGTCCAAAGCTGGGGAAGTAGGGATGGGGTAGGGATGTAGTGGGAATGATGACTGGGACGTAAAGGAAGAGAACAAGCATTTATTGAGCACCTGCTGTGTGCCGGGCATTGTGCAAACACTTTATAAATGGGATCTCATGTGATCCTCACAGCAGCCCTGCAAGGCAGGTGCTTTAATTATCCCCATTTTACAGATGGGGAAACAAGGCAGACAGAGGTGAAATGACATGTGCGTGGTCACACAGCTAGTGAGTGTCTGAGGCAGGTCTTCCTGACCCTGGCCCAGCATGGTAGCCACTGAGCCACCTGGCGACATCAGAATGGAAGGCTGTGCTAACATCCTTTCTGTGACAGGGTGAGATGATACTGTGATACCCAGAAATGAATATGGGACATAAAAGTCTATCCTTGCCTCTCTCTCAATACAGCCCAAGATCATGGTAGCCTGGCCACTATGCCACCCTCTTGGCCCACACTGAGCTTGTGGCACACTAAGATCCTCTGAGTCTTTTCAATATAAGCTGTCATCATTGTACTCTATCACCATATCATAATGAGCTTTAAAAGATAGGATTTTAGCAGGTCTCCTTTATGCTTTATCATGATTTTAAAAATAAGATAATAGGGCCTTCTTCCATCCCTGTGGGGAGAGTTTCCAAAGCGTGGAGCAAGAAAGGGCGACGTGTGTTTAAAACAGTGGTGAGAAGCCTGGTATGGCAGAGGGAGTGTTGGCCATCAAATCCTGACTCTGACTCTGGCTGTGTGACCTCAGGGAGGACATTTAGCCTCTTGAACCTCAGCTACCTTAACTCTAAAATAAGAGACACCTGTTGCCAGTACCTACCTCACCTGGCTCAGGCGGGCTCATTGAGATCTGTGGCTGTAATCAAGTGGAAGCCCTTTGAGGGCAGGGCCACCTTCATTTTTGGCATTATCTCTCCAGCTCCTCACAAAGTGTTGGGCACTTACTAATGGATGGATGGATTGATTGCTGTATAGAGCTCAGTTGTTAATCATTGTTGCTGTTGTTGTTAAGTCTATGTTGGCAACCATGGAGGAACTGCCAAAAGGAACCTTCAAGGGGTACCTGATGTAGCACTTAGAACTGTGCCTGACATATAGGAGGCACTTAGCAAGGAATGCCACTCACAACATCCCTAATGAGGCAGTGTTGTGTAGTGGGTAGAGCCTGCATCCATTGTCAGGGAGACCTCCTCAAACACAAGTTATGTGTCACTTGCGAAGACAACACTGCTTCAGATTGTGGAGGGTCTCAAATATCAGTGGTGGGGAGCTATGGGAGGTATTTGAGCATGGGAGGGATGCATCACACCAAGTTGATCAATGGTAGAAACACTCATGAAAAGCATTCCAGGTTCTCAGGCCTGATCAGCCCTGAATTCTAATTTTGCCTTAGACACTTGCTAGCTGTGTGACCTTGGGCAGCTCTCTGGGCCTCAGTTTCTTCTCCTGTAAAAGGAGGGGGGGCTGGATTAGATGATCTCCAAGGCCTCTTCCAGATTCAAAATCCCACCATCTCTGGGGTCCAGCGAGGCCCCACTGAGAGGCAGTGTCATAACTCCTTAACATGGCCAGTATGAGCACTCCAGCTGGAGCCTGGAGGCTGCCTTGGCTGTGGGTGACTCCCTGGGGTCAGGCTTCAAGGTTGGCCAAGCCCTCTTTCCTCATCCCTGGGTGCCTTCCTGCTCCTTCCTCTCTCCCCCTCCTTCATCTCTTCCTCCTCCCCACCTGCCACCTCCCTTATCTTTATAAAAATGGAAAGAGTATTGGATTTAGAGCTAGACCCTGCCACTGATTACTTGGGTAATCCGCCACCTACTTAGGCCTCCGTTTCCTCATCTGTTAAATGACAGGGATGGACAAGACCACCCCCTAAGGTCCCTGTAGCTCCAAATCCTATGATCCTAAGTCAGGTTTTCCGATTCCAAAGTCTAATGCTCCCTCCGCTACAGTCAATCTCTATTAATGTCCTACTATGTGCCAAGAGTTGAACTAAGCTTGGGAGATAAAAAGACAAAACAAACTGTCTTTACCCTCAAGGAGATTACATGTCTCCAGGAAACATAATAATAATTATCACCATCTTCCTCCTCCTCATTATTATTATAGCTAACATTTACACAGCATTTATTATATGCTAGGAACTATGCTAACTACTTTATAATTATTATCTTATTGGATCCTCACAGCAACCCTGGGAGGTAGGTGCTATTACTATCCCCATTTTACAGATGAGGAAACTGAGGCAAACAGAGGTGCAGTGACTTACCCCAGGTCACACAGCTAGCAAGCAGGTGAGGCTGGATTTGAACCTAGACTTCCAGACTTCAGGCCCAGGTCTCCATTCGATGGACCTCCCAGCTGTCACATATGTCAGCTAATCAGCAACCATTTACTGAGCACCTACTATGTTCCAGGCACTGTGTTTGGTACTGAGATGTTTACATTGGGGTTTGGGAGGAGTCAATGTGCCCAGCATGGCCTCTCCATGCCCTGCCCCCATCTCTCATGTGCCCACTGCAGCTTTGTTTACAGAGGGCTGTAGAGACAGACTGTGTCTCTAAGGAGGCTCAGGGCTAGGCCTGTTTCTCTCCATAGATGGGCCTTGTGGATGCTGGGTGGGGGCCTTTGATGTCCTGAGGAAACAAAGCATCCTTTAAGAGAGTGGCTTTGGTCCCCAGGCAGCCCCGTGACAGCCCACAGCCCCCTGCCTTTGACCACTCCAACCTTGGGCATCCTTCCCCCTCGGGAAAGACCCAAAGCGGCTGCAGAGAGCTCTCGGCCTTCCCAGCCCATTCTCCTGTGTCTGCTGGGGGAGGACAAAGGTAGTCGGGATGGTATTTAAGCTCTGGGGTTTTACTTCTTCCTCAAAGACTATCAAGGGCTTCCCTCGCCAAGGTGGTTACGGGTGTCCCCCTTCCTCCCGAGGTCACCCTGGGAAGGACTGATTCAGGGTGGCCTGACTCATGGAGACAGCATTGGGAGGGACCTTGGGAGTCATCGAGCCCACCCCCATCATTTTACAGATGGAGAAACTGAGGCCTAGGAGATGCTGATTGATAGGTGGATGAATTGTTAAATGACTTGCCCAAGACCACGTACATAAAAAATGATAGAGCCAGGATTCAAACTCAGGTCACTTGTCTCAATTCAAACTTCTTCCTGTTGTACCACACGGTCTCCCTCTGGAGCTGGGAGGAAAGTCAGAGACTATCAAAACCAACCACTTCATTTTGGGGTATTTGCCAACCACACCCAGGGTAAGGCACCTCAGCAAGCTGTGCTTCAGAGGGTTGAAAGTAGAGAATGGCAGGGAAGGTCAGGGATGGAGCTCGGCTGAGATACTCAGAGTGCTAAACCCACTAATTGTGGTGCCCTGGGCCAGAGCTCCTGTTGGCCTGTCCTCGTTATGGAGCTCTAAAAGTCATTTGAACTGGGAGAGACCTTTGACAAGTTATTGAGAATCAGAATATGAGAGCTGGAAAAGGCGTTGGAGATGCTCAACCATCTCTGATTTTATAAAGGAGGGAAAGAAAAGGGGCATGACTTGCCCAAGATCATGCAGCCCCTATGGTGCCCAAATTAGACTCAAGGCCAAATCTCTGCCTCCAAACCTGGTATGCTATCTTTTACAACACGATGCTTAAATCTTTTTTAAAAAAATTAATATATTTGTCTTGACAACATATTTCCTTTTAAAACCTTTTTTTCAAACAATGATTTTTTTCCACTCCACCTCCCCCCAAAAGTGAGAAAGCAAGCAAAACAAAATCCTGCATGGGCCGCATCCAAAAGAATTGTGTTTCCGTCTGTATTCTGGGCCAATCACCTCTCTGTCAGGTGGTGACTGATGAACTTCATTGTGAATCCTCGGGAATCATGGTCATTGCCTTCATTTCCAGTTATATCCCTCCCCCTTCCCTACCCATAGAGCCATCCCTTATGAAAAATTTTTTTAAAAAGAAAGAAAAGCATTTAGTAAAACCAATGAACACATAAGCCAAATTTGACATTATATGAAATAGTCTACCCCCATAGTCCCCCACCTCTGCAAAGAAAGAGGGAAGTGCATTTTCATACTCCTTGTCCAGAGCTAAGCTTGACCATTATATTTACAAAGTGTTCGGTTTTGTTGTTGCTTTTCTTTCCATTTCTGTTGTAGTCATTAAGCATGTTCCTCTCCTGGTTCTGCTTACATCACTCTGCATCAGTTCATGGAAATCATCCCAGACTTCTCTGAATTCTTCCTACTCATCACTTCTTACAGTGCCCTTTCCCAATCCATGGGTGACAACTCTATTTCCCATTCTTTCAAAAATTAATTTATTTTTAGTTTTCAACATTCACTTCCATAAGATTTTGAGTTCTAAATTTTCTTCCCCTCCTTTCTCTCCCCCTTCCCCAAGATGGCATGCAATCTGATACCCATTCTTGAAAAAAAAAAGCACTCCTGCAGACCTTGTCTTCTGGATTCGACCCAACTGGCGTATATACCTGGGATCCCTAGATATAGGATCTTTTAGTCGAAGGGTTTGGACAATTTAGTCACTTTCTTAGCATTATTCCAAACTGCTGTTGAGAATATTCGGGTTGAGTCAAAGGTTCATCAGTGGTGTCATGGCGTGCTTCTCTTGCCACCACCCCTCCAGCATTGATCTCCTTATCCTTTGTCATCCTTGCCAATTTGCTGACTGTGAAGTGAAATAGCAGAGTCATTTTGACAAACATTTCTCTCATCTTAGTAATTTTGTGCAGTCTCTTATATGGGTTCTAGTAGGTGGCATAAGCTTTCGATCTATTTCTCACTCTATCAAGTATTTTTTTTTCTTTCCTTAGGCTGATATTAAAATTAATTGTTCTCCCACCAAGCACTATCTGGGGACATTTGGAGACAGATAGTCAAAGCCCCACAGATAGTGAAGGTCAGAATGGGGATTCCAATACAGCACTTACTCTGGAGCCAGAGAACCTGGGGCAGCTAGATCTGGAGTACCAGGTGTGGAGTCAGGGAGACCTGAGTTCAAATCTGGCCTCAGACACTACCTGTGTGACCCTGGGCAAATCATTCTGTTTGCCTCAGTTTCCCCATCTGTAAAATGGAGATGATACTAGCACCCACCTCCCAACGTTGTCGTGAGGATCAAAGGAGATGATATCTGTAAGGTCTTAGCACATCGTCTGGTATATAGTAGGCACTTTATAAATGTCAGCTAGTTATTCAGTTTTAGCTCCCTATGTGACCATGGACCAGACCCTTCACCTCCTTGCCTTCATTTTCTTCATCTATAAAATGAGGGCGTTGGCCTAGATGGCCTCTCAGTCCAGAGTCTCCTGGTAGTAATGTTAGTGGTCTTGCAGAAGGCATTCTGCCCTAACCATTCACCCTAGATAGGTTCTGGATGAGTTCATGGAGAGCTGAGTTGAAATCCCCTTTGTGGTTGGTCCTAGCCTTGGGTTTCTTTGCTTTGGGACTAGGAGGCTGCCATGTTAAGCTGTTAGGTTTCCCTCTGTCTCTGGCCCATCAGGACAGCAGGTCTTGGCCTCCTTCAGAATAGAACTCAAGAGAGAACCTGCCAGCGGATGGACAAAGCCGTGAAACTAATGAAGATTGTAACTGCCTCCATTTCTCTTGAACCTGGGAGGGAGGCTATGGTATAGGGAGGCAGGGGAAGCTCCAATAGGGTAAGGGCCTTGCCCGTGATTGGAAAGGTTTGTTGGGTGTCAGAGGTGGGATTCTGTCTAGGAGACACTAGGTCATGGGTTCAGATCCCACCGCTGATGATCACTGTGCCCTCCAAGTTCCATTACTGCCCTGTGCCTCAGTTTCCTCATCTGTAAAATGATGGGGTTGGACTCAGACTCTGAGGTCCAACAGCTCTAAATTTATCCCCCTGTGAATCCATCAGCCACTTCCCCTCCCTGGGTCTCCATTTCAGATTGGGCTGTGTGACTTCTAAATTCCCTTGCAACTCTCCATCTGTGGTCCTATGGGCTTAGGAGCCATTGGAATGGTTCCCAGCTCCCAGCTCCTCACCCCCTGACCTGAAGACCTGGAGCCTTGGCCAGCAGGGATGACCTCTGGCGGACCATCCATGCTCTTCCGCTAGGCCGTCCTTAGGTGTGATGGGTGGCATCTATCTGTGATCCTTGGTGAGCTCAATGACCTCCAAGTATTAGCATCCTCCAGCTGAGAATGATCCCAGTGGCCCCTTTCACATCCCCTTTAAGGCAGGAAGCCCCTCACGAGATCTCTGTCCAAATGTCCTCCAGATTCCAGTGTAAGGTGTCTAAGGATGGGGAGCTCACCACCTCCCAAGGCATCCCATTCTACTAACATACTGTTCTAATAATTAGGAAGTTTTCCCTTATACTGAGCTGAAATCGGCTTCCCAGAAACTCCCCACTATTGTTCCTGGCTCTAGCTGTCAAAGATCAGCTGCGGGCCTGTTATTGTGGGGACCTCGGATGTGGGAGACAGACCAGTGGGGCCATGCCTGGGAAGACAGAGCCAGAGGACCCACAACCTAGGAAGCAGATACTTGTGTGCTGGGCTTGGGAGGCAAAGCATGTAGTCTGTGACCCGTAAGACAGAACTCTGAGTCAGTGATCTGGGAAACAGAACTGTGGTCCCGGATGTGGGAGACTGAACTGTGGTTTCCATGATCTGGAAGACAGAACCAAGGTGACTGGCTTGTGAGACAAGCCCAGGAGCCAGTGACCCAGGATGTTGAAGCTTATGTCCATGGCCTGGGAGGCAGAGCTGAGGGGCTTTTGCCCTGAGAGCGGAAGCAGGGGCTCAGCATTCAGGTGTCTGTGTATTTTGTCCCAGAACCCTTGGCCTTGGGTCTTGGCAGGCATGCAGGGTTGGAATGTTTTCTGGACTCTGAGAGCTGTGTCAGACTCCTGTTTGGCAGTTGCCAGGCTCCAAACCAGGTCATTCGAAAAAGTGGAACTCAGCAAACGGGGTAATCCATGACCAGCTGGTCTAATTGCTGCTGGTATTTGGGGAAAGGACGAGAAGCAGCTGAAATAATGAACCACGGGCAGCAGGCAAGCGAGCAGCCTGGAGGGTTCATGGGGCTGTCTGAGGGTCTGACGGGCACTTGGCACCCACCGAGAAAATACTCCAAGTTCAAATCCATGCGGAAGAGTGGAGCCCCGCCCCTTGGGGCTTTGAGGAGGTATAATTAATGGAAAAATGCTCAAGGTTGGCCTGGGCCAAGCCTTGAACTCTCTGAATCAGAGGAATCTGTAAAGGGAATCATTCCACCCCACCCCTTTTTTCCCCTTCTCCTTATTAAACCTATATTTACCCATGGAAATGGGTGCTTCAGGGCATAGAGAGGCTGTCTGCCCATCAAAGTATAGGGAGGGGTGGGAGACAGATCCTAGGAACCAGATAGGGGAGCAGCTGAGGGCCTGAGCCTGGGAAGCTGAGGCCCCTGAACATGGGCAGGGAAGGAGCCAGGGACTTTCCAAGGCAGGGGACTAGCAAAGGCTCTCACCAGCGTTCTCAGTCACTGGGAGGGAGAGGCACAGAAAGGCACCTGAGATAAAGCCAACCAGATATGTGCCTGCCTCTCTCTCTCTCTCTCTCTCTCTCTCTCTCTCTCTCTCTCTCTCTCTGTCTGTCTGTCTTTCTCCTTCTGTCTGTCTCTCCCTCCCTCCCTTTCTGTCTCTCTCCCTTTTTCCTTCTCTGACTCTCTCCCTCTGTCTCTTCCTTCCTCTCTCTGTCACTTTCTCTCCCTCCTCTTTTTTCTATCTCCTTCTTATAGTTACTAAGAAAAGCCCAGAGATGGAACCATTCACACACACACACACACACACACACACACACACACACACACACACACACCTAGAGGTGTGCTGTCACAGAGGGAGAAAAGAGAGAGAAGGAGACAGAGAGTGGGGGAGACAAGAGAAGAGACAGAGAGAATGCTGGTGAGAAAATGGGTCCAGCAGCCAGTCAGGGCCCAGGGGGGATCTGGGAAGCTTCCCCACAGTCTCTAGTGCATTGAGAACCATAAGAGAAACCAGCCTGTCCTTGGGTGTCAGAGTCACAACTAGCTGTGGAGGAAAAGTCCCTCTAGTGATGAAACCTCTGGCTGTTGTGGCTTGGGACAGGCCACTCTTCCCACTCTTGGCATCAGTTTCCTAATCTGTAATCTGGGGAGAGGATCTTTTCTCTTCTTGCCTCAATTCAGTTCAGTTCAAGAGATGGCCCCCTCCCTGGGGCACTGGGGGAGATGCCCGGTAAGAATCAGAGACTCTGAGGCTGTGATCTGGGGCCGGAGAGCATGGCAGATGCCTTCTTTGACGCCTAACCTCTTCTCTTATAAATGAGAATGAGAGAGACCCAGCTAACTCAAATACACGCTCTGACACGATGAGTACATTAGCTTTCGAGGGTCCAGCGCACACAGTGCTGTGAGAGGTCTGAAGGGGGAGCTCATTGTTAATGGGGGCTCTGGTGAGGGTTCCAGGAGGTGTAGTGTTTGATCTCAGGAAGGAGGAGGGCCAGCAGGATGCACGCATATGAGCAGGGAGGAAGGGAGAAGGCCCCTTTCCTTGGTCTCGGTCTCACTCAGAGGTATCCCTGGGCGAGATTGCTCTGGTAGCGTCCCTGGAAGGGGCCCTGGAGTTCTGTTTGGAGCTTTAGAATGACAAAGGTAAGGGCAAAGCCCCCAGGTCCTGTGGGGCCCCTTGGCTGGTCAGAGGCCCAGGAGCTGGGTGGTCAGGCTGGGCCCAGGGAAGTAGCCCACCCCAGCAAGCACCAGGTACTGCTCCTGCGGTCTGGAGCTAGGAATAAGAGCTAGAGGAACAGAGGAAGGGGACACAGGGCCCTTAACCAGAGGCAGAGGCTCCTGCAGGCCGGATTTGGTTGGTGGGCCCAGCTTCAAATTGCCTCCCCTCCCCCAGTCCATCAGGTTTCCTGGGAGATCTCTAATGGGGTCTCATTTGGCCACTTCCAATTAACCTTGTCCAGAGGATGTATCAGCACATCCCTGAGGATCCCATGAGTGGGGGTAGGAAAGGGGTGGGTTTTGTACTGTGAGGAAAGTAACGGAGAGCCTCTGTGGAGGATCTGTCCCAACCCCTCCCAGCCCTGACATCCCCTGTTCTGAGGTCCCTCCCAGCTCTGACATTCCCTGTTCTGAGGCCCCTCCCAGCTCTGACATCCCCTGTTCTGAGGTCCCTCCTAGCCCTGACATTCCCTGTTCTGAGGCCCCTCCCAGCTCTGACATCCCCTGTTCTGAGGCCCCTCCCAGCTCTGACATTCCCTGTTCTGAGGCCCCTCCCAGCCCTGACATTCCCTGTTCTGAGACCCCTCCCAGCTTTGACATTCCCTGTTCTAAGGCCCTCCTCCAGCTTGGACATTCCCTGTTCTAAGCTCCCCTCCTCCAGCCCTGACATCCCCTGTTCTAAGACCCCTCCCAGCTCTGATATTCTCTATTCTAAGGTCCCTTTCACCTCCAAACTTGATGATTCCCAGGTGTCCCAAGCCTGGCTTTGGGTCTCCCTTTCCTCCTTAGGCCTAGTTTCAGACACCCCTGGGCATTCTCCATTTCCTATTCCCTGGGAGCTGGAGAGTGGACCTTCCTGCCCCAGTTTTCACCGCTGTTTTTACTGCTGAGTCAGTGAGTGTGGTCCAAGGGCCTCTGGCCAGGTCACTGCTGCCGGGCCTTGTGGGCCTTGGAGAGAGCTCTCATCTCTCTGGGCCTCATTTTGCTCTCTCTGCTGTGTACAATGTTCAGGAGCTTTCCAAAGTGCTTTTCTCTGGCCAGCCCAGTGTGGGAGGCAGGGTCAGGATCATTCAGTGAAATCCAAGTCAAGTCCGAAAGCTTTTATCAATGGCTTCCTGTGTGCCAGGCACCGGGATAAGATCTGGACATTCAAAAGAAAGCCCCAAATGGTCCCTGCCCTGGAGGAGCTCCCAGTCTAATGAGGGAGATGGAATGTCCATAGCTAAGGACACGCAGGGTCTATGGATGGAAGTTCGTCTCAGAGGGGAGGGCTGCAGTACTGTAGGGACCAGGAATGGCTCCTAAAGAACAGAGGGTATGTGCTAGATCTTGAGGAAGTCAGGGAAACTGGAAGGTGATGGTGCAGGAGGGTGTTTCCAGTATAACAAAGGCATAGAGGGTTGAGCTTGAAGATCTGCAAACAGGCAGGCGTGTGTTGCCAGAACACCCAGAGTGTGGAGTCAAGGAAGGTGTAAGAAGACTGGAGAGGTAGGAAGGGGTCAAGTTATATAAAGGACTTTATATGCCAAACGGTTTTCAGTTAGATCCTGGAGGTACTAGGGAGCCCCAGGAGCAGCTTGAGCAGGAGAGTGGTGTGCTCAAAACCAGAAACATCACCTGGGCATCTTTGAGACAGATGAGACTTAGGGCCAGGAGAGCACTTGGAAGGCTATCTGCAGTACTCCAGGCAGGACCAGACTCCTACCAGGCTGGGCTTGGGGCTAACAAGACAGAAAAGAAGAAAATACAATGGTTCCTAACTTCTAGGAGGTAACATTTACACCTAGAGGAGGTGAGGAGTGAGTGCATTCCAGACTTGGGGACCTTCCCATGCAAATGCAGGAGGCGGAAGACCGACCATTCGATGTACTTGGTTGGAATTTGGTGGGTGAATGGAGTATTGCAAGATTATAAGCTCCTTGGCGGCAGAAACTTTTTCCATTTGTCATTGTATTCCTAGTGGGTGGTTCAGAGGGGATGCTTCCATGTAGTCAGTGCTTAAGAAATGCTTGTTGATTAATTGATAGAGCTGGAAAAGTGGATTCAAATTGGGGAGACCCTTTGAAGAACCTGCATTTTATCCTGGCGGCCATCGGAGCCCCCAAATGGCTTTGAGCTTGAGGATGATACAGTTAGACTTCTGGCAGCTGAGTGGTAAATGGATTGGGAGGGGACAGCTCGACTGGAGGCCAAGGAACCAGAGAGTCCAGGGGGAGCCTGAAAGGGCGATGACCATGTATTGAACAGAGGATGTGGAGCTAAAATCAAGGAGATTTTGGCAACTGAGTAGACCTGGGGTGCCGGCTGAGGGAGAGGGAAGAGCAGACAGACGTGTAAGGTGGCAAACTTGTTGCTAAGAAGGATGCTGTAACCTTGGAAAGAGCAGCTTCCACTGAGGGATGAGCTAGTGGGCACCTTGGGTGTGTGCCCCCCCCATCTAGTGGGACGAAGTGCTTAGGGTGGCTCAGGGCCCTGCCCACAGGAGGGCCCAACTCTGGTCTAGACTGGTAAATCTTCAGGACCAAGCCCCAGAGCCCCACAGAGTGATGGTCCTCTCCCACCTTCCCCTTTCTTCCCCACTTCATCTATATCGTCTGTCGGCCATCCATTCATTTATTCTGAAAACACTTATTAAGCACCGACTGTATACCAAGTACGGTAGTCTGAGTGGGAGGAAATGCAAAATTTATATAGGATCTTGTTCTGGCAGAGCTGCCAACACATGCCTAGCTGGTGCTATGTCCTGGAAGGAGCATAGGCATGGGGCAGTCCAGAGGCATGGCATTTTAGACCTGGACCTTAGAGATTTTCCAGCCCCTCGTTTGAGAGATGGGAAGCCCAGAGAGGGGAAAGGATCTTCGCAAAGTCAAAAAGTGACACCGGCTGCCCTCCCCCCAACACTTCTCTGGAAGCCATCCTCGGCTGGAATCCCCACCGTCCCTCACCCTGCTCTCCTCTCTTGCTCCTAGTCCATTGCTACCGCCCTCCCCGGCTCTCTAAACCCTTGGCCAGCCCTGCCTTCTCCCGTTTTCTCTCCTTAATCCTCATCCTAACACTGTGCCCTCCCTCCCTTCTCTCCTCCTCTCCCTCTTTCTCTCTCCTTCTCCCTCTGTCCCAGCCACACTCCCCCTCCCTCGCTCTCCTTCCCCTCCCTCCCTCCCTCTCCCAGCCTCCCTCTCCCTCTCCTCCCCTCCTCCCTCTCTCCCCGCCCCCCGCCCCCTAGTCTCTCTCCCCGCTGGGTGTGTCCAGAGGCCGCTTTATTGGCTCCTCCAGCTGTGAGTGTCTGTCAGTTTCCGCCCCCAAAGGGGACCGAGTTTGCTGAGCCGGGAGAGAGAGAGAGAGAGAGAGAGACAGAGAGAGACGGAGAGCGAGCGAGCAGGAGCAGGAACGGGAACGGGAGCGGGCGCGGGGCTGGCCGGAGCCGGGAGCCCGGGAGCCAAGCCGAGCCCAGGAGGAGCCGAGCGGAGCCCGGCAGTGGGCAGGGCGGGCAGCGGGGCACAGGGCAGGGCTGGGCAGGGGCAGCCTGGCCGGGCCGCTCCCCTCCCGCGCCCTCCTTCGGCGGAGCGGGCTCGCCCGTGACAGCCCAGGGGCCCCGGCCGCCCGCCCGGGGTCCGATTGCGGCCTGGGCCCCCCCGAGCCCCGGCCCTCCTGCCTCGGCCCCCGCCGCCGTCGTTGCGGGCCGGAGCCCGGCCCCGGCACCCGCCCCGATGCCGGCCGAACTCACACAGGTTGGTGGCAAGTTCCCGGGCTGCGCCCCCGCCGCGCCCCCGCGCCTGGGCCGGACCCCACCCCGCTCAGCCCCGCCCCTCGCCCCAGGCCCCTCCCGCCCCCTCCGCGCTCGCCCCCATTCCAGTCCCCATCGTCCCGGAGCCCCAGCCAGAGGCTCCTGCTCTCCGGGTTTCAGGGGCCCCTTTGTCTCTGCCGGTGGTTTCCCTCCTGAAACCGGAATCCCCCGAGGAGGCTATTGTGTGCCTCGGAGCCCCCCTAGCCCGCCTGCCCGCGAGGCACCTCCTCGGCCGGGGGAAGGGAGGGGGGAGAGCTCGGGCTGCACCCCACCCCTTGCCCGGAGCGCAGCGCTCAGGAGCCCCTGGCGAACCGGGTCCCGCGGCAGCGCTGCCCAGGAGGGCTGGTCCTGGAGTTGTTGCCTTGAAGGATCTGGGCCTGGGAGGCTGGGCAGGGCAGGGCAGGGGAGGGGAGGGGTAGGCCAGCCCCCCGGAGAGTGACTTCATCCTCCTTCTTCTGGGGGTGGCGGGTCGTAGGCACTGCCATCTGGGGCTGATACCCTAAGCATCCCCGGGCCCAGCTCCTCAACCTTTCCAGTCCCCCCCGTAAGTGGGGCCCCCCGGCTGCAGGGACAGAGTAGTCCGTGCCTCTGCTTTATGGGGAGAAAGCCCACTTTGGGCTACACAGGGCAGGCCGTCCTAGCCTGGGGAGGGAACTGGGTAGTTTTTGGGGAATAGCAGAGCCTTCTTTCTTAGCTCCCTACCGGGCGGGCCCTCAGGATGCCTGGAAAGCTACGCCAGCTCTTGGCTCTGGGGAAAACGCTGAGGGAGACCTATGGCCCAACTCACCTCCGGTGTGTTGCTCTGTCGGGGGCTGCATCGCCTGTGGAATTAAGTGGGGAGAAAAGCCAACGGAGCTCCCCGTTGGAGAGGGGCAGGGGGTTGCCTTCTACAGCCCAGTGAATTTGGCAGAAAGTTGGGGAAGGGACCTTGGGGTTGGGGCCCTGCCCTGTGTGGACCGGACTGAGTGGAGCCCGGCCAGGCTGGGGGAACCAGGAATCGCCCCCACTGCTGACTTGGACAAAGGCCTTGGGGGTGGAAGGAGGTTGCGGGAGAAGTATGGCATGCTGGTCCCTTGGCTATTTCCGCTTGATTGAACTAAATAGGTTTTCCCAGGAAGGATAGCAGGTGTATTGTGCTGACAGCCGGTAGTCTTGGCCTGAGTGCAGGGGAGCCCTGAGCTCTTGCCTCACCACCCGAGGCTTCTGGCCTCCCTCTGGCTCCTTTGAGGGCAGAATCTGGGTCTCAGAATCTCAGACCAGGGCAGCTGGAAGGGGATGGGATGCCAGGCTGTGCAACTCTGGAGAGTAATCCAGGAGTGAAGCCTCTCCCCAGGCCCCACAGCCTCCTGGAGCTGACCAGGACCTCAGAGACCACCCAGTGCCCTTCCCAACATCCCCGTGGGGCATCCTCTGTTTGGAGACCTCCAGAAATGGGGAGCTCACGTCTCCCTAGCCAACAGAGTCCACTTTGGGGCAGCTCCCAGAGTTGGGAAGTTTTGTGTACAGGGTTTGTTCTGATAATCAGCTCTGGAAAGCTGAGCCTGATCCACCAGTGAGCCCTGAGTGTCTGTCAACAGAGGGCCAGGCAGCTTCAGTCATGGGGTCTCTGCAACAAACAGATTTCTCCACACAGATTCCTCTGCCCAGACGGGACATTTCTCAAAGACCCTCTGGTTAGTCGGAGGCTTTAGTATTCAGGGTGAAGATGATATCCAAAAGGAGGTATGCAGGGTGTAGGACAGGGACACCTGCTTCCTGACTCTCTTCTGCCCACGGTACAGTAGAATATGCCTTGTTCTGGGTCCTGCTCCAGATAACTGGCAGTATGACTTCAGACCTCACTTTCCCTTCCTGTAAGCTGAGGAGGCTAGGCCACAGTCCCCCTGTCCCCTAGTTCTAATGGTCTGTGATTCTTTGAGGTTAAAACCTACTGTGGGGAGAAGCTGAGGAGCTGGCCTCTAAGGCAGGGAGACCTGGATTCGTCTTCTCTCTAGCTCATACAGGTTGTGGACTCTGGGGGAATCTCAATCTCTCTGTGCCCATGGTGACTCTCCTAAGACTGGAATTTGCTGAGCAGGTGCCCACCTGCACCCACAGATGAAATCACAGGTCTGCCTTAAAAACTCAGACTGATCCAAAAAAACATACTGTGTGATAGTGGGCGAGTCAGTCAGCTTTTCTGAGACTCAGGTTACCCTTCTGTAAGTCGGGATAGACTTACCTTTGTACTAGAGAGGCATGGGCATCTGGTTCATTGGCTGAGCTGGGAGTAAGGAATAGCAGGATTTGGATTCTGCCTCTGGCATCTAGCGACTTCTTGGCCACAGGCAAGTGTATGACTATGACCTAGTGGGGCTTCCGGTGGGCTCGGATGAGTTCATGCATGCCAGACATTTGTGTGTAAATGTCAGCTTTTATCCCCAGTCTCCCGGATTGGCCTGATTGACGTGAGCCATGATGTCATCCCACCCACACCTGAACCCCTCATACAACATTCCTAAGAAATGGGCATCCCTTTGGTGATGGGGAACTTACTTCCTTTTAAGGCAGGCTCTTCCATTTGGGGTCAGCTCTGATGGTTTAGAAGGTTTTTCCTTCAAAGTTTGTCTCTCTGGGGCTTCTTTCCACTCACTGCTTTTAGCTCTTGTCTTGGGAATCAAGCAAGATGAGTTTTCTATTCCAGTGTCTTGGAGTGAGCTGAAAAAAGGCCAGACCTCTGGGTCACTGAATACCCACAGAACTTCAGGCTAAAAGAACCAAGAGGACCCGAGGCAGTAGATCGTTGAAGTTATCCGGGAGTAGAACTGAAATCCAGAGGTGGGAGGGGGAAGAGAGAGATTGAGCAGAGACAGAGACAGAAGGGAGGCAGAAAGAGAGAGAAGGAGACAGAGAAACAGAGAGACAGAGAGAGGAGGGAGAGAGGAAGAGGAGATAGAGAAACAGGGACAGACAGAACAGACCAGGGGAATTGAAGAGAAGGACCCCAGGGGAGGGTCCAGTAGGGGGCTAAGAGCCAAGGGTAGTATGTGCTCTGTCCCCTTTCTCTGGGAGCCAGGCCCTCCAGGGTCCCTCAAAAATGCCTCTTGGACATTTACTCATTGTGTGTAGCTTGACCATCTTGGACTCCAAAACAGACACCGAGCTGCTGTCCTGGGTTATAGGTTCACAACTGGAAGGTGATCCAATCTGACCTGTCATTTTCTAGATGAGGAAAGCTGTTTAGTTTAAGTGACTTGCCCAAGGTCACAACATTAGTATGTGGTCAGAGATAGAATTCGAACCCAAGGCTTCCTGACTCCCAGTATGTTTTTCATTATACTGTTATCCCTTTCTAATTCTGTGGGGCAGAGGATGAAAATTGGGTAAATGGGCAGCCTTGTTCACCTAAGATCCTCCTCTCAGTGAGGGGTTGGGGTGGCACCCCCTGCCTGTCATGGTGCCCTGGGAGTGGCAGCTTCCCATCTGGTGTGGGATCCTGATGTCTCGTAGAAGCCAAGGTCTCAGAGCAGGGTTCTTGTCCTCTGTTCTACCCTGGGTTTGCTGTGTGGCCTCGGACAAGCTTGTCCTCTCTTTAGGCCTTATTTTTATTTTTATTTTTTGGTGAGGCAATCAGGGTTAAGTGACTTGCCCAGGGTCACACAGCTAATAAGTGACAAGTGTCTGAGGCCAGATTTAAACTTAGTCCTCTAGGCCTTATTTTTAAAGTAAAAGCTGATTCCCTCTTAGCTCCAAGCCCCCTGATGCTATGATGCCTTGTGTTTCCAATGGGGCTTTAAAGTTTACAGAATGCCAGGAGAACAGGAGTACAGGTATTTCCTGTCCTTATTTTACTGGTGAGGAGACTGAGGCCCACAGTGGGGAAAAGACTGGCCTGAGGTCACAGATCTGGTTTCAAGGCCAATGTTTTTTCTTTGTTGATCCTGGCCTGGAACAGTGGGGAGAGTGCTGGAGTCCACAGGCTGGTGTTCCAAGTGTTTCTGCTGACTATATCCGTGTGACCTTGGGCAAATCACTTTTCTTTCCTGGGCCTTAGTTTACCGTTCTGTAAAATGATAGGGTTGGGTCAGATGACCTCAGAGGCCCCACCCAGCTCCAGATCTAGGCTCCTAGGTGTAATCTTATGCAAGTCACTTCATTGAACTCTCTGTGCCTCGGTTTACTGCTCTGTAAAATGAGTGGATTGAGCTGAGTGGCCTCACACCCGCTGGAGCTCACTGAAGTCCCTTTCACCTCTTCAGGGCTGAGATCTCAGGCTGTTTTCCTGTCCCTCCCCCACTCCCAAGGTGTTGTGCAACAGCCAGCAGGGTGGGGGTGGGGGTGGGGTGGGGAGGGAGCTGAAACCATCTATTGTCAGAAAATCCACAACCTGCCAAGCCATTGGTTTTTCCCATTCACTGTGTACTCTGGGCTTGGGCCAGCCCAGGGCAGGCTGGAACAAGGGCTCAGGGGCTCCTGGAACCAGCAGTACAGGCCTGGTCACCAAGGAAAAGAAAGCCCAGGGCCAGAGTTTCCAGGAAAGGTCATGCCCACCCCTGGCAATCCCCCTCCCCCGACCCAGCCCTCGACTCAGCTGGGAAGAGCCAGCTGGTCTTGTCTCTGCCACTAACAAGGTGTGTGACCTTGGTCAGGTCTCCAGCCCTCTCTGGGCCTCAGCATCCTCATCGTCACCCTTATTCTAGGAGAGACAAGCACAGGATTTAGGGTTGGAAGGGTCTCAGAGATCAGTTGGCCCCATTTCTGAGGCCCAGAGAGAGGGGTTGACTTCCTTGAGGTCACGCAGGCAGTGGCTTCCCTGCATAGGTAGCTCTTCCCTCCTCTATGAGGCCAGGGGTGGGTGTCCCTCCCTGGTGCCTGGGCAGAAGGCTCTGGGGAGCCTTCCGGTATATCCAGGCAAGGATATGGAAGAGAAGGCAGTTGTGTGAGCTTGTCTGGGCACCCTCTCGGGGTCTCGGCTGCTTCCCTTCATGGAGAAGTGGAGGTGAGGAGAAGGGCGAGGCCTGGGTGAGCTCTGTCATTCTGCAGCGAGAGGACCCTGAGTTGCAGGCAGATGGAGGTCGGGTGCCGGGGCTGCACGCTGGTGGGACTGGGGTAAGCAGGGAGTAGAAAAATCCATCCTCATCCTGCTCTACAGGAAAATAGAAGGGGAAGGGGATAAGAGAAGGGGGGGGGATAGAAGAGAAGGCAGACCAGGGAAGGGGTATTCAGAATGCATGCCATCTTGGGGTGGGGGAGGGGTGAGAAATTTGGAACTCAAAAATTTGTGGAAGTGAATATTGAAAACTAAAAATAAATAAATTTATATTAAAAAAAAAATAAAAAAAAATCCATCCTCCGCTGTCGGCCTCCAAGGCTGGGCCCACCTGACCTCCTGCCAAGCCCTATCCCCACCCTCTCCTCTCCACTTAGAGCGGACAGTTCTCGGGGCCCCTGTTTTCCGCCCACCATACCACTTCCATGTCTGCTCACACCATCCCCTGTGCCTAGAATGGCTTTCCCTCATCTCCATCTGCTGAAGTCCTTACCTCCTGTCCTATAAGGCCCAGCGTGGGTGCCAGATCCTCCGTGAAGCCTCCCCTGAGGGTGGGGGAAGGGTGGGAATAAGCATTTATGGAGCACCTACTGTGTGCCAGGCACTCTGCTAAGCACTTTTACAAATATGATCTCATATTTGTGAGGTGGACTCTATTATTATTCCCCTTTTACAGTTGAGGAAACTGAGGCAAATAGAGGTTAAGTGACTTGTCTAGAATCACAGTCAGTCAGTGTCTAGGGTCACATTTGAACTCGGGCTCAAACGCTGGCTGACTCCGGGCCCAGCTGTCTGTCTATCCGTTGGGATCCAGCCACCTATGACCAGCACAATGAGAGGCTTACAGCCCGGTGCCCAGCGGGTGCTGAACAAATATGGGTGTTGATTGGCTAATGTGAAGACCGGCTGAAGAAACTCTTGGGATGGTTAGCCCAGAGAAGGCTGTACAAAATGAAGACCTAGAAGAGAAAAGGCAACCATGAGAGGCCTCCTGGAGGAGGTGGTCCTCAAGCTGAGTCATAAAGAAAGCCAGGGACTGGAGGTCAGGAGGGGGAGCACTCCAGGCATGGAGAACAGCCAGTTGAAAGGCACAGAGGTGGGAAATGTGGAGTGGCATGGCTGAGAAGCAGCAAGCTGGCCACCAGGGCTGGATCATGGAGTGAGGGGAGGGGAACAGAATGTGAGATAAGAAGTGGCCGGGTGAAGATCACTGAAGGACCCAGAAGGCTGAGGGGGGCACGCGGGCTTCCTTCCAGTATCCCAAGGCCATCCTGGGAAGAGGGACGGGCCCCAGAGGGCAGAACCAGGAGCAGGGAGTGGAAGAAGTGGCAGAGGGGATGATGTGGCCAGATGTCCGCTGCCCCAAAGTGGAATGGGCTGCCAACGATGGCGTAAGCTTCCCGTCAGTGGAGGTCTTCAGGGGGAGGCTGGCTGGTGCCCTGTCTGGGATGGTGGCCTTCGGGGCCCCTCCCCAGGCCTCCCCAGAAGCCAGGATCCCAGGATTCCAGATTGCTCTGGCATCTTATCTTGGCCACCCGTGGCTGGGGAATCGTGGGTCACCATTTTCTTGGGTTGGCTCCAAGAAAGGTCTTGGATTCCAGCCGGATCATACTTCCTTTAATCGCACTGAAACATACAGATTACATTTCTAAATTCAGAGATTACCCAGATGGCAGGTTTTTCTCTTACATCCACCCTCGTACGTATGGAGGGAAATTAATCTCTCCTTTGTAGCCAAACAGGCCTCCAGTTTTGGAGACACTGAGATGCTGTCCTTTTGTGATTTGGCCGGGGACCTGAGCTGTGAGAAACAGTTGAACGTAGATGCCTCGCTGCGGCCGTGCTGCCGCCTTGAGTTTTTTGGGGGGAGGCTGCCGTGTTCTCCTCCTGGGCAGCCTGGGAGAGTGGAGGCTGGAAGAGGCGGGTTCTAATCCCACCTCTGAGCCTTGGGCCTCCTTTTCTTTACCTGGGGAGGGGGGAGTCCTAGCTGTTCCTTGGCCTTGTTTGGTGGGGTGGATGATGGAGCCTGGGAGCCAGTGGGGGCAGGGTTGGGGAAGAATAGGTCAGCTATTGACCAATTGACTAATTATTCACCATTGACAAGGCCAGGGCTGGGATTAGCAGTTCCTGCCCATAACCTCATAGGATTCCTAAAGGGGTTTCCTTAGTGGTAGAGTAGGACAGGATGCTTATCCCCATTTTATAGATGGAGAAACTGAGGATGGAATCCGTACGGTGACCACCCTAGGGCTACAAAGCGGCTTTTGAATGCAGTAGTGGCTCTCATTTCAGGGCCCTGCCCCCGTGCCATGCTGACTTCCCCCTTCTCTCTGCTTCCCGGCTGACCCTTCTTCAGCCTTGTTGCTGGGCACTGGCTAGGGCTGTAATTTGATCTGGGGCGGCAGAGGCTCTATGGGCTGCCCCCTCCTCTCACTGGCAGATCGGCTCAAGTGAAGTCATCGCCCATTTTTAGATGCTGTGAAGTCACAGATG